TTTTTTTTTTTCCTGCCCACGTATCTCAGGTTTGGAATTGGTGCCGGTAAAAGAGAGATCTGCCTTTTCAACTCTTTCACAGAGCCCAAGTGCTCATTAGCAATCAGCTAAATGGCCTCGAAGCAGACAGCGCCAGGCTGTTCGGGCTGCTCATGCTTCTTGGGGGAAATCGTAAGTGGTGTGGCTTTACCAGTACTTCCCAAAAAGTGCATCTTTGCACCCCAGCGTACATCAAACACAGAGTGATACAGTGCTGATGCACACATCGAGAGGTGAGGTGTCACAAAAGTGTATTTAGAGTTTTCACAGGCATTTTATTGGGAGAGTTTCTCCTTTAATATGTTTTTCAGGTAAAAGCAAATAGCTGCTAAAAGTTCTAGCAGACTAATAATCTCATTGAGGGTTAAATGCTAAATGCAGACTTTGTTGTATAAATAATAAAACCCCAAAGAACCAAAATTCTTCAGCACTTATGTTTTCTCCCTAAGCCCCTGTTTACCATATCACCAGTAGCACAAAAAAAGAGAGGAGGGAAAAAAAAAAAAGAGGATTTTCCTGGATTTTGACATCCCTCTCTGAACTTAGAAAAATTAAAAAAGGACAGATTTTTGTTCAACTCAATGTGTGAATGACATAGGCTGATAGACATTCAGAGGCTCCTGCTAGGATGTTCCAAGACAGTAAAATATACCAGAGGCAATTAAACACTGAAATTTTGCATTTAAATCCAGTATCTCTTATCTCTTCTCTGGTTTTAGAGTATTTTATATTTTAAATATTTCATTAGTATGAGTCACAATTAATCTGGCTTGTCTCTGCAGAAAGCAATGTATACGTTTATGACTCAAGTTTATCCAAGACTATAGCGAATGCAGTCTTATTGCAAAAATATAACCACAGATGGAGAGATATGAAAAAGCTACCTGAAACCTGCTGCTTTTTTCCTACAAACTTATGCTCTCAGTGAAGTCTCCAAACTAATTAGAATTGATTTATTATGGATCAGGTACCTTATCAGGTGAAGAAAGAAATTACCATGGACAGTCAAAGGGTTGAGAGGTCAATATAGAATAGCAAAATCAATTTGCATTGATTAGACAAAAGGTCCATTTTACAGAGCCCAAAGGATTAACTTTTAAGCAAACATCTTTGAACTATAAGACAGCATTTATGACTGAGAGTTATAAGCAGTGCAGCATTAGAAAACACTTAAGATATTTAAATAAGAAAATAATGCAAGCAATGGTTTAAGCTATCTGGATGTTTATTTTTTATTATGAATCATCCCCAGGATTATTGTACAATTCACTTGAAAGCCCTATGGAAAGGATGCAATTGTTTAATTTATCCCACGTGTCAATCTTCCCATGAGTTTTCATTCAGGTAAGGTGACTCGGGAGAGTTGCAGAGAAGGGAGAAAATCTGTGCAAAGGATCGCACTAATCCTGGTGTGGCTTGCGATAAAATATTTACTTGGCAAATGTACTGTTTTACTACCAAAACCGATGAGACTTTTTCTGAGTGAGCTACTGTTGTAAAACAGATCTGATACCTTACAAGGAAGGAGGCTCCTTTGTGGGTCACCCCTTCCATTTTCTGTGACACCAAAAGCAGCGCAATACTGCAGGAAAGCCATGAAAGTATGACTGCAACAAAAAATAATAAACCCGGGACAAATATTATTCTTTATCTCCTCCTCACTTTGTTTTCAAAGTTTATTCCAAGGAGACTATATTTCTTTGTCCCTTATCTTGGACTTACACCACCACCCCCCAATAAAACTTAAGAATGGGACTGTAGACCCAGCGTATTTAGTGTGTGCTGTCACATGAAATGATGTAAATATCAGCATTAATTCTTAACCAGACCAGAAAAGCCTCCATGTTTGGTACTTTCAGGTAGCCACCTTTGGCAGCAAGCATTTTCCTTCCCTCAGTACCCAGCATTGCTCTTACCTTCAATAGCAAGCATTGCTCTTAGCTCCCGGTTCAGTAGTTCGTAGCGCCTTTCTAGGTCATGTTCTTTTTCCCTAGGCAAGTTGCAAAAGTTCATCAATATGTTAATTACTAAATCATTAAACACTTAAAAGAACCTTTAACTTACATTGATTTTAGGACTCGTAACTGACTTTTCTCTTTAACTTTAAGCTACTCCAAACAAATGATACACAAACTTAAAACATTCTCCGGTGGCACATTCAGTAACAAGGCCTTTTCATTTTCTATAATGTTGGGTTTAATTCTGTCAGTTTAACTCTTTTGTGCTACAGGACGCAATTATTTCATATTCATTCTTGGAGCAGCTGTTGTGGAATGTCCTAAGTATTAAACATTCCCCCGGATCCAATGAAGAAATTCCAGCATCAGCCTATTCACAAAGATAATGTGACACTGGAAGTATTATCCTATATACATTCTGCCCTAATGAATAATGAAAATTAGACACGGGATTAGAAAGCTTAATGTTTTGAAGGTAGAATCTTCTGTCAAGTTCAGACATGGTAGGAAATTCATGAGCACAGGCTTTTCCCAGGGAAGTATGCAGGCATCTACACTAGGTGGCATTACTGAAGGAAATATAATCAATCCGAAAGAAGCTGGAAAAGAAGTGCTGAGGGCAGAACGCCTCTCAAAACGAGCAGCATCTTCTCTCTTCCTTACCTGTGCTAGTGAAAAAAGTTTATTTGTCCTTGCTTTGCTGTATCGGTGGTATCATCGCACTGTGACTGATTCACTAATAACATCCTTTCAGCAGTCCGGTGCTGCTGAACTAGCGATAGATTGAGGATTTCTACAAAGCAGGTAGTGACTCAGATTTTGCTCTCTCTCTGAATAGTCTTCACCTGTCACATTTGAGGCACAAGCCAAATCTATTTCTAAAATATAATTTTATTCTACTCTTGGGTCTTTGAAAATGTAACTGTGCTTAATATTTCTTTTTTTTTTTTTTCACAGCTCTGGCTAATCTTGTGTTATTGCACGCTTCTCATTTTCAAGTCTGAAATATGAGAAAAACAAGTGTTCCACAAAGCATCCAAGGCTACTCATTTTTGAAGGAATATTTCTGAAGTCTAATGGGAAGACAGCAGAAAAGTTTTGCATCTGTCTGATGGATAAATATTCCAGTAAATCATCCTTTTGTAAATACATGTGTCCATCCATACTTACAGAAGAGAAAGCTGGTTCATTCGCCTTATTAAGGCATTCTTCTTATTAACCAGCATGAACCATTCCTGCATCATAGTTTCTTCTTCTTCTGTGTTTCTTCCTGCAATCAAAAGAATTTCATTACTTACGTGGCATTTCACAGACTGAGCTACATATTTCATTTCAGGTTTTGGAGTATCAGTCTCCAATATCATTGAGCGTTACAAGATACACTCTCAAATGATAAAAAAAAGTATGACTACAAGTCCTGCCACCCAGTCCTGCTTACTCCTTAAATAAATCTTTGACAGCAGCCACTCTTCAGCACACATTTTAGTGTTCTTTATCATGCCAATACCCTGATCTAAATAAACACCTTTTTAAAAGTACTGTATCTTCTAAAGTCTCTTGAAAGAACTATATTGTTGCGACATTCCCGACAAAAAAAAACTTTGCTGCTAAAAGATGTCTGACCATTATGGGCTTCCAAACACAAAAACAAGCCTTGTGAGCAGGATACACTCCACCCATACAAACCCAGTGCAGTCAGAATGACGTGGTGGGGGGCCGCATAGCTCCAGAGTAGATGGCAATCCTGAACACCTGGCCAAGGTTCAGGCACCTGCTCAGCTTCTTTGTGCTAACGGCCACTCTTTCTGACCACGAGCTGGGAAGAGCTGCAGAAATTCAAATCATTGTAGGTGCCTAAGAGACCCCATGTGTGTATGGATGGATTAGCACCCCTTCCTCCCAGCCTATCACTGCCTCCCAGGCAGGACCGCGATCAGGATGCTCCACTAGACTCTATGAGACTCTGTGTTACCACCTCTGCACCATCAGGCCATGTGGAGGAAAGGCAGATTTGGGTCCAGAAGGCTCCTGACTGTCCTTTCCATGTAGCTGGGTCTTTCAGCCAAATTCCACTGTCTTTAAGCTCAGGGGCTAGGAGAAACCTCACCAAAGTCCTTTGTGGAGACTGCACCTCTGTAGTGACTTGCCATTCTCAGCTCTTTCTCTTGCTTTGAGGAGCAAAGACTATCTGGTCTTCATAGCATTATGAAATTCACACATTTCTGAGGGTTAAAATTAATCTGTGGAGAAACCTGGAATCCTGGCAAAAGAGCATGATCTGGGTCTTCTGATTACTTCTCCCAGCTTCGACACTGCTTCACTAGGAGACTGTGGGCATATCTCTGATCTGGTGTGTAATATGAGGATAATCACCCATACTGATCTTGCAAGGGTGCTAAAAGTTAATTCTTTGATGTTTGTAAAGGGTCTTGAAATCTCTGGTGCAAGGTGCTGTACACTCAGGGGAGCTATCTTATTAACTTAAACCATGGGATCCTTAGTTGCAGAGAGGCAATTTTCAGCACCAGAGGCTGGAAAGACACCAGAAAAAATATTGGTTTGCTCTGAAATAAAGCTTTCAATTTCTGGGTGGAAGCGTTCGAAATGCTTGCATGTACGTGCCTGCCATGCGCACGTTCACACCCCGATGCCACGGTAGTGTGCAAGCCCAGATCTGCATGGAGAACCACCTCCTCACCTGGCTATGACCCTGCTGTATGCAAGGGAAGGTCACTGGCCTTCTCCAAACTGTTTGATTCCCCCCATCGTGGCCTGTGGTCTTGGTGCATCCACACAAGGAAGGAAAAGGAGATGATGAATAGGCAAGTGAGTCAGCTTGGGGTGGAGCTGATGGACCCACACAGTACGAAGAAGTTATGCCATTTGGCATGCTCTATCTGATGTAAGACATCCCCTCTTATCCACTTAGCACTCTGGAAAGCTTCTGGTTGATGAAACTGTTCCTGGACGGGTGCTTTTAGGGTACATGATTTGCCAGCGGTGAGATGGGATAGGCAGAACATCCTGAATTGGGAATTCCCCTGTAGCCCTTTTCCAAGCAGAAGCAGCAGGTTCCAGCTCCTGGATGACGGACGCAGTGATGAAGGAAGAAATTTGTCATGTAGAAACACGCACCCCCAAGACCTCCAACTTCCAGTTTTGTGCAGAAAATATTAAACCATGGCATTTACAATAATATTCATCAGTTCAGCACTCCCAAAGAGGATTAAAACTTATAACTGCACTTTGCTCTTAAGTTACAGATCAAAGGTATTGCTATACTGGTCCATCTAACAGGGTCTGCTTTTAGAAGGAGATGATAAACTATATTAACAACCTTTCATTGAAATGCACCAAATAGCCTTATCTGGGGGAGAGGGAAAGAAAAAGGGTATAGATTGCTTTTTTTAGGTTTGCAAAGTGATCAGTCTATTCTGTGACACATGAGATTGACACACTGCCGGTGAAAAAAAGTTCTCACAACCAGACATATGCAGCTATAGTCACATTTTAATTAATTTATGACAATTTGTTGGCTTTGGGGTGGTCTGGGTTCTCTGGCTAAAAAGTGCCATTATAAATGCAAGCTCCTGCTACATTTCATTTTGCAAGGCTTGAAAAAGGAATGAGAGACAGAATGTTTCAAAGGAGTTTGACTCAATACCAGATTTGAACTTGAATTTCATGCCATGCGATCTCAGGGTAGCAACGTAAACTTAAGGTACAAACTTCTTTCTATTAATGCATTCTTATTTAGGAGGAATGTTAGTTGCAACACGTACGGAGAAAAGATCTAGGTAAAGTTTGGAGCTGTCAAGTCAGATCTGAAGAGGTGCCTATTGTGATATTTCCACACTGACACCAAAGCACGTGCAATATCCATAGAATAGGCTGGTTTAAAAGTGAGTTAACAAAGTCTTGATTGTTTTTACAGAATTTTTAATCTGTTTTTTTATTCGCTTTGGACCCATGTGATGCCCTGACACTGGTCATGTGATATCAGCTGCGATAGGCACAAATCCCTGGGCAGCAACAAAAGAAGAAAGAGTAAAAAAGAAAAAGCTGAGAAAAAGCTTGCAATTTGGAAAAAGGCCAATTGTACCCTGGCAAAGGCCTTTTTGATCAGTGAAATGACACATGTGTGCAATATTAATAGCAGTTGATGCTGATATTTTATTTGTTGACCGTCAGCTTTTAAATTCTTGTGCATGGAGCTGAAACAGATTCTTCCCAAGTAGGCAATATAAAGACGAACTGCCATATATAAAAAATTTAAATAACTCTTTTCAGCAAACACAGTGCCATCAGCACAGTACTCCCCCCCCTCGGTGGAAGGATGCACACGAAACACTTTCAACAAAGAAAAACTGATTGTTGTTACTGCAGTGATATTGCAAGCTAAATTTACATTTACAATTCCTAAATAAATAATTTAGAAAAAGCCTTTCTTCAACACAGTTTCACTCGTAAAACCCTGCTGCTGCTGCTGCTAGGGTTGTTTTTATTTCCACTTTCCAAGTGTAAAACAAGTATTCAATTGACTTGCTGCAAATGCTTGAAAATTAAAATTGGGAAAATATCTGTGCTGTTCTCGGGGAAAAAAAACCAACAACCTGTAGAGATTATTTAAATGAAGTGAAAAACATGTTTGAGAACAAATCGATCCCACGCATGCAAACCCCTTATCTGAGTCAGTACAAGATGATGAAAATCTATAAATAGCCCACAGATCTTAAACTTAAATTTTTTTCCATAATACATGCATTACACTATTGTTTTTGATATAAAAACAACAACAACAACAACAACAAAACCCTTTTAAAGCTAGTAAGTTGGACCATTACAAATTAATCCTGACTTTAATAACTGGTTAAAGACCCCTTCAGCTTTATAAGTAACAAAAAATATTAAAGCCTGTGATCACAGCGAGCTTTTCTCATTTCTCCTCTAACCATTTGTTATTTAATCCAATACTAGTAATCCAATTTGTCCATCAGACTTTTAAAGGGCAGAATGCAACTTCCCCAGCTTAGACACTTTTCAAAGTACAATATATTTTTCAAATGAATGCTGGATGTTTCATTTTTTCCCCAACTGTTCCTAGCTCTAATGTATGAGGAAAAAAAGAACAAGATGAACATTGTTCGTACTGATTAAGTAAGAGCTCATTAAAGAGCTGTCAGTGCCGTACTTTGAATATGCATGAAGCATATAATCAGATCTAGTACCGTCACTAGAGGAGAATACGGTAAGTACAAAGGATTGATTTAATTACTTAGAGTGGGCTGTGGTGGTAAAGCAGTCTTGTTAGCGCAAAAAGAAAAGGAGGTTGTATTCTGGCACGGTTAGGGGAAAAAGGCAGTTTTAGCTTCTGCCACAATACCTAATCTCAGGATAAAGCACTTTACATTGTAGCTTAAAATGAAGACTGTCAGTTTTCTAAAAAGACCAGAATTCATCTTATCTTGTTTAACCTCACCTGGTTAACTATCTAGCAGAACATATTTATTCTCTTTAACACGTAATTATGCTTATACCTTTTTATCCTATAGTTCAATAATGACTTCTGAAAACAGTCTTCAAATAAGAGCACATAGTGCTACTGCAAACATCATATGCATGCAAAATGCTCGGTAAAAGACTTGAAAAAAGCAGAACCAGAAACTAAGACGAAACAGTAAGTACACGCGCCTTTATGTAAAAAGACAATACAGCTTTTAATGTCACACTTTATTATTAGATAGGTTCTGAGACGGATTCTGGCAGGGTTTCTCTAGTTTCTCTAATTTATTTTCTTCCCCCCCCCTCCTTCCTTTCTGCTTTTTTTTTTTTTTTTTTTTTTTTTAATCAATACATTCTTGTTTTATTCTTTCTCTAGGAATGCTGCGGAATTCTCTCACATCAACTCACAGTGGCATTTTAGAATTTCATTGTCTGGCTTGAGTGGTGAAGGATGCGTACTCTATTCTTCTCTTCACTTGACATCTACCAGAACCCTCCTCAGTGATTAGGAACAAGCCCAACACCAAGCCTGGAATAGCACAAGACACTAAATTCTGCCCTCAGATACAAGAAACTCCTACTGACTTCTGAGTTGTGATTCTGCACTGTAATAGCTCCTGCACAGGATTTAATCAAGGCTGCAGCATAAAGTTTGGTGATTTTGTCCTTTACTGGGACAAATTTTAATGATAGCCAAAATGATAGGCAGAATTTTAATGATAGCAAAAAAAAAAAACCCAAACCCCTTTCTTTTCTCCTGTGGTTCAT